ACAGAATAAACGCATACACACACCAACATCCATGCCTTGTGTGGTATTCGAACCCATGATCCCGGTTTCCAAGCGAGCGAAGACAGTATATGCCTTAGACCGCTCGGCTACCGTGACCGGCTATGAAATAAGTAGTAGTTGTTAAATAATAATTAAAAATGGCGAATCTGTTAATCAAAACATAACCTCTACAAGCAGAGTCTTTTCTTTCTCTCTCATGGGGTGAAACTGAGTCCACTTGGTACTGCGGCCACTACTGGCCTATTGTACAGGCCCCAGATGATGATTGTGGAGTAATCAGTGAAATGCGAATTGGCAAGGGAAACCGAAGTATCGGAGAAAACCTGCCCCAGCGCCACTTTGTCCACCAAAAATCTCACATGAACTGACCCGAGCTCGAACCCGGACCGCCGCGGTGGGAAACCGACGACTAACTGCCTGAGCTATGGCACGGCCTTTGTAGAGTCCTTACTATGGGCTAATCTTGAATTTAAGCAGACTTACAGCCTGGCCTGCACAGAAATCCAGTATTGCTTAGGCAGCATCTATACGAGCGCATGAAATGCATCCGTTGTAACGAACTTCGTGACGTCTGTTGTAGAAATAGACAAGAGAGGCGAATGCTACGCTTTCTTCTGGCTCCATTGCCGGCAAAAAAACTACGCACCGCATTCTGCAACTGTGTGGTTTCCTCAGCAACGTCCTCAGCAAAGTACGTTCTTTACAACGGACGCATTTTGTGCGCTCGTGTAGACGCTGCCTCAGTCGGTATAACGACTAAGCTACGGGCCGGAGGACCGAAGAATGGAGGTTCGATTCCTGGTATTGGTAGAAGATTTTTCTCATCTAAATAGCGTCCAGATCGGCCGTGAGGTCCATCTACATTTTATCCAGTGGATTTTGCTGGAAAAGCCACAGAGCTGTGAAGCTGACCACTCACCTCAAACTAGTGTCTAGGTTCAGCATATGAAGAGCTATACTCGTACCCCCACTCCCCCATGTTTTCATGACGTAGTGCTTAATTAGTGAAGCACGGGGACAACGTTACTCTTTGCGCACTAAGAGCGCATTGAAAAGGCCCGAAATGGAACGCAGCACAAACTATGAAACATGTACTGGTCGTTATGCCTGGAGCAATTGTCCCGTCAAGAATTGTCCACTCCTTATTAACCCACACTTCATATGTCTGGACCCATAAGATCTGTAGTCTTGTCTTTATTCTGGATGATGCACCCAGAGTTGTCCTGGCATGAAGGGAAATGAGTAGTAGATGGCCTTGAAATCATGAATGAGTTACTCCAAGTAGTAGTGTTTAAGGACCATCCTCGGCTCCTCTGTAGCGGGGAACCGGAGAAGATACGAAAAGGATACCATTCTCAAACTGTTCGAGTGTTCATTCTGCAGATACTGCTGATTGTAAAGTTTAATTTAAGAAATTCCAAATATGACATAGAAACCTGCTTTCATATTTTGTTTTGTGAAGGAACTGTTTAATGTTGTAAGATTTGAGGTTTTCGCGGCGGTGACTATGAAGAATGCGGTCTTCTGGGATGTGTCGCCGTGTAACTGCAGCCACTCGTTCAAGTTGGTTCATCGCTCGCGGATTTCTTATTCCCTGAATATGGAGGCGATACGTTCTTCCGAAACGTCGTTTACACAATATATATATATAATATACGCAGAGCCACATCCCAGAAGACGGCATTCGGTTTAATGTAAAATACAGATTGCCTCTTCGTTAAATTTATCAGGTGAAAAAGAAGTAAAGCTATCTCTGTAACAGGCCGTGGAGACGCATACGGTTGTCAGACGTCGAAGATCCCACATTTTTTTAAACAATCGGCTCACAGATAATGGTGAGGTTGTCAGCTTCACGCGGGTATGAACACAATTTTAGGCACCGTCTCCAGTTCTGTAGTTGTTGTGATTCTTCATGCAAAGTATGTAAGAATGCGCAATATGTTCCATACCAGATTTCACACTCTAAAAATTATTTCTCTTCATACGCCATGTTTCTGTTTTATATTGTCCATAAATTACCTGAAAATATATATATTTTTTTTTAAGATTAGCTATCATAGCGCAGGAGGTATGTGAAGGTTCCTAAGGACTCAAGTGACTCATATTTCACACACTGTCAAACACAGATCAGAAGTGCTTAAAAATATCTTGGATTTTTTTAAACATTTCATGTGGATGGAATATTATTTCGAATCGAAAAGTCTCTGTATCTACGTAGTTGTGTCTGTAATGCACAGTGAGGTATACAAAGTAAATCAATTCTGAAGGTTTGTGACAGAGCTGTGTTACTATGCTGACGTGTTATCTTGGACAACTTTCGACGTGTTGTTTTTGGTTAAAGACGTTTCGGAATGCGGCAGTGCTTAATACAAAAATTTCTGCTGTATCTATTTGATAACACTAATCTCTAAGTCGGGAAGTCCCAGAATATAGATTAACCGTTTAAAACCCAGCAGTTACCACATGTACCACCTGCTTTAACATAATAAACTGCCCACACAGCGCATTTGTGTGTTTCGTATGTGTGTTTGGTTCTCACAATAAACAGTGACTGCTTCTCCTAATATTTCGTCTCCATATTCAGGGTTGAGGAGTAAGTTATGGAAGACACCAGCATGAAACAGGCAGCAAACAAGCTTTGCTTTATCCTGGTTTCTCACTTGGCTTACTCTTTAACATCGAAGACGGAGGCAACATGTTCCTCCGAAACGTCTGTTGACTTTCATCGAACTACACAGTGTTATACCCCAGAATATAGAGCTCACGTGATCATGAGATTTAGGGCCGAAATTTGTAGTAAGTGATGAATAAGACGACAAGTTCTGGGAAGAATTAATCAGCTACTTTATCCTTTTAATAAAAATTGAGCACGTGGCATGACAAACTGAGAGGCTGTAATGTTGGTATTACTGATTGGATGGTTTTATTAATTATGCCGTTCAGATGGTCTCTGGTGGCGTAATATTACTGTCAGGTTTCATGGAGATTAGTTGTTAGTAGGGAATACACATAGAGACACAGTGACCGATAGCACGACGATATCATAAGCATACTTTTATTTTTTCTCTCAAAATAAAGAAAATAAGCGAAAATTTTATTTTAAATGTAAGTATATATGAGGTTTTATCCTGTGACCTATAATATAAGTTGAACCCAATATGCAGCAGTGTCACAGATACAAATATGCAGGAAAATACATAAAATAACAATAGCAGAGCAATTATGATAAATTCTTATCGTGTATAATTTGTGAACGACGTGAACTGTAGGTGGAGAGAGAATGGTTGGTCTGTAGGTGAACTTCCCTGGCCCTTTGCACAAGTCCTGCTGTGCTGGTTGCCTGCCGCACAAAGCCTCCTCCCCCTTGTGGGAATAGCCCCGCATCCCGCATAACATTACTACGAGAATCACGAATACACGGCAGGCGGAATTAGGGACGCGGTTCGCACAAGCTCGCTTTAGTTTGGTAATACCTGCCAAAATTGGGGTGGTATTTGCATCAAGTACATAAAATTGGTATATGGTGCGAGCCGGGATAGCTCAGTTGGTATAGCGACGGGCTGTATGGACAGGTTTTCGAGTCCCGAGAACGGTAAGATTTTTCTCGTCTCCGTAACGCCCAGGCCGTCTCTGGGAACTCACTCAAGGGTACCGAGGGCTCTTTCCCCGGAGGTAAAGTCTTGAAGCTGACCACTCACCTCCACCTACTGCCGAGGTTAAGAATAATGAAGCTTTACCTCCACTCAGTAGGAACGCAGTCGGTATAGCGACTGGCTATGGGCTGGACGACCGAGGGGTCGGAATTCGAGTCCCGGTAGGGCCAAGAATTTTCAATTCTCCAATCGTCCAGACCGGCTCTGGAGTCCATCCTAAACCTCCTATCCGATGGGTACCTGCTGTTCTTTCCCGGGGATAAAGCAGCTGAGGAGTGAAGCTGACCGCTCACCTCCAACTAGTGCCGACGTCAAGAAAATATGGATCTATACATCCACTCCCCCATACGTCTTCATGTTGTTTGGTATAAGGTTATAGATATTTCAGAGGAACGTACTGCCTCCATTTTCATGGCCGAAAAATAAGCCAATCAACCAATAAGAAACGCGGAGAAATCAGGGAAAAAAGAGGCGCGTGGAAAACCTTCGCGTGAACGGCTTGGAAAAGTGATTGAGCACTTTCCTGTCTGCATTTTACTTGCTGTTGCTTGTTTTACTCACCTTTCGGCCCTGAAGATGGAAACAGACATTTCTTCGGAATATAGATCAACATTAACGGACTACACGGCGTCATAACTAAAGTTATATTATTCTTCATAGTCACCGCTGTAAAATTTGAAGTCCAACATGAAATCTTATATGAAGCGTTCTGACTTCTGAGATATAACGTCATAAAAAAAGGTAAAACTGTCTCTATAACGGGCCATGGAGGCCCATAGGTTTGTGAGACGTCGAGGCTCCCACATTTTCTAGACAGTCGGCTCACAGATAACGGTAAGGTTGTCAGCTTTACGCGCCGGCCGCCCTTTAGCGCCCTGGAAGATTCCTGGTACTCATTTCTGTTAGAGGCTGAGTCGACCCCAGAGACATAGTGCGGCTGGAAGGATTTGGCCAATTGAAAATTCCACCTCATAGGGACTCGAACCCACGACCTTCCTCCTTATAGGATAGTGCCTCAACCAACAATGGTACCGCGTGCCCCCGTTACGTCATATGGTCTGTTGAAAGCTAACTGATGATTAGGAGAAATATCTCGCCTCCATCTTCAATCTAGAAAAATAAGCGAATCATGAAACCAACGTGAAGCAAATATCTAGAGGCGATATGTTCTTCCGAAACGTCTATTGACTTCCAACGGACTACATGGTCGTTTACCCCAGAAGATAGTACTCTCGAAACCACCTCTGTGAGAACCTCAACTCCTGCAAAGTATGATCAGTTTCTGTGACATTATTTTAATGCCGTGTTTGTTTATTTCTGTTTCAGGTCTGGAGGCCCAGGTCCAGGAGTCTTCAAAAGACCTCTACTGGTTTTAATTATAATTCGTTGACGTGGTTTTATTATTTTTCCCTTTTTGTTGTAACTTACGATTCGTGGAGAAACGGGCATCACTAACATCTGATCTGTTCTGCGAGCCCTGAAGGATCCCGGAAGATGTTTTTTTGTTAATTCCATAACTGTAGCAACAAAAATGAAAAGTAGTTCACTTTATGAATAAAAATGGACAGGACTTGAAGGACATATTATCCTTCCTTGGAGTTTTTATGGAGTTGGTGATGGTTTATCGACAGAGTTGAACTTTGTATTACCATTACTAAGCATGGGCGCCCCCAAGTTTTATTCAAAGTGGGGCAGTCACTTTTCCAATGGTGGTGAGCCAGAAAGCTTGATTTTAAGCAGTTTAAAAAGTATTGTACCGATCTCCTTCCTCACGCCCAACCACCAAAATGGAGTACCAGGGACTACATTTCGTCTGGCCCCTACCCTTTGATCTGTCTGGCACGGGTGACCCTACCAGAAGCTTACGCTCCCGCCAGCATAGCTCTGAGTCATTGGGAGTGCGCACACCGCCTCTCCATGATAAGGCTATAGTCCTCGAGGCGTTTACTGAGCAGCTTAGGATTTTCGGATACATATTTTTAAATATTTTATAAATTTCTTTCATCTTTTATATTTCCATAAAGCCATGTGAGGTAGATGACTGGCTTGCCTCCCCCACTGTCGACGCCCATGTTACTAAGACTACGTTATTTCCTCTGTATGAAAACTATAGTCTATTTCACACTGTAACACTAGGAAGACAAGTATGAGGTGAAAGTATGGATGGGACATAAGAGCATTCAGTAGTCTGCAAGCTTCACTGTAATATCCAGCCTAGCCGTGCCATAGCTCAAGCGGTTAGTCGCTGCAGACCGGGCTCGATCCCAGGTCAGGTCGAGTGGGATTTGTAGTGACCAAAGTGGCGTTGGGGCAGGTTGCGTTGCTATTGAACGGACGCGAGAGATCATTGAAGTGAGTCTGTATTATTTTCATCGAAGATTTCTGACTCGAATACCACAGATCACTTCAAAATGCATCAAAATAAACATGTTTCTCAAATATTATTCTTAATCTCAATTGTAATTTCAACTCGTATTTGTCTCCTGAGATGTTCTTGAAAGGAAATTTCCCTGCATTAAAATGACTGCTGGCACATTTATTGTCAAGTTGTACAAATATTATAATTATTATTATCATTATTATTATTATTACTAATATATATATGTTATAACATTTTAATTTATGTACATAGAAACGAATTTGTTATATATTGGCATCAAGAACTGTGTTTTGTGAGTGAATAATACAAAATACCTGTGCAATCATACCATAATATGAAGAAAAGTGCTGTGTTACGAGTTATTTAAAGAAAGTACTTCAAGTTTTTGAAATAGTTACTTTTAAAAGACTACAAGGAAAATTCTCATTTAGAAGTATGATGTCTTCAAGAACATTTATTGTATATATATAAACCGACATCAAACCGTCGTGTAAATCTTTCTTTTTTCCTCTGTTTTAAATTTAATTTTAACTCGAAGCAGAACGAATTGTCATTTCCTTGTTTCCTTGGAACATTGCAATTGTAGAGCGTCTCTGTGTCAAGGTTATGTAGCCCAGCGTAAGCCGATGTGCTCCACGGTTTCTTATTCAGATGTGTGTCTGGTATTCGTAAACCGGTTTAAAAAAAACGAATAGATACTTTTGACAGTCACTATACTGTACTGATATGATTTGGGTTCGACTTTCAAACAATCTGGTCTACTGTAAGTTGTTACAGACCAGATGACCCAAGTTGTGAGCACTGGAATTATATCTTTGATCAGTCACCTTCAATTTCGTATTATAACTCATTTCCTTGTACTGGTAGGCACCAGTTGACCCGAAGATATAAGTAGGAAGTCACAGATTCACCATTGTGCAGGAAATAATGTTTAGTGTCTGTATGTCTTGTCTAAAACATTCTTAAAATTACGTAATCACTGATAGATTTGAGGTTCTCACTGCTGTAGCTTTCCTGTGTTATATATCTTCTAGGATATAATCCTGTAATCCGCTGAAATTCATCCGGCGTTTCAGAGGAACATCACTTCAATTCTCCTCCATCATCAGGGTCAAAGAATAAGTTAATTAAAAAACAGCATGAAGTAGGCATCAAGAAAACTGATACTCTCTTTGTACCTTCCCTTCCTCTTCGATACCGAAGATGGAAGCGATATGTTCCTTCGAAAAGTTGGTTGACTTTCACCAGAACACACGACGTTATATATCACGAGATATAACTGTTGAGATAGTGACATAGATTGTTATGTTATCCTTGGGAAGTTAGAGGATACTGCTTTCCACATGTGACAGGAAGCAAAAGCACAATATCGTAAATCTCATTGAATACAAGGGAGTTTCATTCCGTAAGGTTGGCTGCTTGATGTATGACATACAGTGAAAGATATTTTAGACAAAGAATTGTTTGTTTTGTTGTAAATTAAAGCCCATAAAATGAAACGATTTCTCAGTTATTTTGCCGAATACATAAACAAAATTATAAAGGTTTAGTTAAAGAGATAAATGTCAGCTCGTAGTTATATGAAAAGAAATGATTCACGAGAGCTTCGAATGCTTTTACTCTATTTGCAGAATTGTCTCCGTTTTATCACTGATGATTTCGGCGACTGTTAAGTCAAATCGTGACAGACCAGTTGCATCTTAGTCGCGTCAGTGGCAAGGATGCATTTTAGAATAAGAATATAGTACCGTATGCAAATTTCTTAGATATATTAATATTGCATCAGTCAAACAGACAGATGTCCATACTGCCTGAAGCTTTATTCAATATTTTAAGTAAATTATGCAATTATAATCTAATTAGCTTATAGCTAAAACGTGGTTTTATTATATAAAACATTACTCATTGTTATTAACGTTACAATGTATGCGCCCCTTCCGAGCCCATCTGCTGATTTGTCATGTTTCACAAACAGCTGTGGAGAACAAATTATTTCGCCTACTTTAAATATAAATATATGCTTCAAGTGTTTGTATAGCACTCACTTTATACTCATAATTAGCCGTTAAGACTAAAATTCTTATAGTTAATATGTAAAAACTCAGTTCGTACCTCACAGGGAACACATTGCATTCCCACTATAAAAACCAAACCGTTAATGCTGTACACTTTGGGGACTATATGTAGAGTTCTGTTTATTAACGCACGTGGTATATATAATTACCATTGAGTTTTTATAAAGAATACGTAAGGTAGCCGTCATGAATACGTACATTTATATCAAATATTTCCTTTGATTTCTAATCATATTTTTTATTCACATGGTGTAGTGTTAAGAGCGGAGTGTTATATTTCATTGTACAATATCTTAGAAATCAGGGTATGATTTATTTCAGAATTTGGGTTAATAACCTCATTTAAATGAACTGGGGTTAGCCAGCCGTTACCTATTGTCTGACAGATACACAATTTCGTTTAAATCAGCTGTTGTTGAGCGTTACGAAGTAACGCTAGCTCTTTCTAACGGACCCAACAGAATAAGCGTTTTCCTTCACCTGAGGACGGAAACAGATCCAGTTTCCGAAACGTCGTGTTTTTATTAATCTTAAAAACCAGGACGATGGATAAAGTCCGAAAACCCAATATAGGTCCAGTGATTGAGGCTAGCTCTTTGTAACGGACCCAACAGAATAGGTGTTTTCCTTCACCTGAGGACGGAAACAGATCCAGTTTCCGAAACGTCGTGTTTTTATTAGTTATCTTAAAAACCAGGACGATGGATAAAGTCCAGTATATCAGTGTTACGAAGTAAAATCCGAATTTCTTAAGACGTACAGGCGTTGACTTATGAAGCTAAAATACGTAATTGTGTGTTAATATAAGAACACGATGAAAAATAACGGATCAGGCGTGTTCTATTGTTGCTACTCTGAAAAGTAAATTTTTAAATAAAATATTTCTTTTAAACTTAGTTTGCATAATAATACACACTTATTTATTTCAAAAGAAAATTTCAGATACTGAGATATAAATAAATGTTTATCAAATCTCGTGTCAAGAAATTAAAACTATATTAAAAAGTTAAAATTATTATTGTAATAGTTCGTACGGGATCTCAACTTTGTATTTTGAAATTCAAAATTTATTCTGAAAAAGACAGAGATTTGAAAGTTGAGATTATCAGAAAAACACAAATAAGAATGATAAATGCTTTACGTATTTTTTGAATTCTTAAAGCCATAAACAACTTATATGAACACGTGGATATGCTACGGACCATAGAGTGAGTTTCTCTGCCTAACAGCAATTCAAGTCGGAGGTTTTTGTGGCAATAAATCAGTTTGACGTGGTGTAAAATGAGGCTCTGTATCTGCATATGTTCTTAATCTTTCTGATGGGTATCTAGAAGTTATCGGTTTAAAAAATACAGTGTATTTACTTCAAAAGCGAAGAATCTCGCATAATTTGAATAATATTTCAGACACATCATGTGAAAGAATATGCTTTGCAAAAGATGGGTGAAGCCAATAGTTATCTGAAACAGGCCTATATAGACCGCTGTGAGAACCTCAAATCCAACACAGGCCTACATATCGATCATTCCTCGATAATTATCTCGTGCAGCACACAAAGAAAAATATTTTGGATATTCATATGAGACTTTATTTGCCAATAACTTAGATAAAATCGCATTGAAATTAGAAGAAGATTGGAAAAATTAGATTCCGATACTGGTTTCATATTTGTTATATAATTCCACATGAAAGCCATATTATATTAAAAAATTACAAATATAAGATGGATTTAATTTTTAAACTAAAAGTAAACATTAAGAGATTTGTGAAATATAAATTTCAGTTTTGTACTTCACAGCTCATAACACTTGAAAATATTTCCTACCAATAATAATGTCCTATATGATAATGTATATTTATTGAAGTATTCTTTTAATAATATCGTTGGAATTTATAGGCACCAAGTCACAGATTAAGGAAGTATTTGAGAGAGTCTCTCCGTAATTGACTATACTAACTTCACTGATAAAATATGTGAGTTTTACTACCGAAACGATGTTGATCACATCATTGAAGAAGTTGTTAACAAGTATAACTGACAGATTAAAATGTACAAGATTAAAAAATCCGTATAATTGAGGCATGAATAAGACATTTCCTAGTGGATTTTTTTAATTGTATATGATATATTCCGGTTTATACCATAGAAATATTGAGTTTCTAAACGCCATCTGCAGACAAACACAATTAAAATTTTTAACACTCCTCACATTAAAGGCGAATGTAAATATATGAATAATATTGTATTTGAATATCATATACCCTTAATTGACGGCATACCAAATGGCTTAAGTTATGAGGAATTGTTTAAACCAATTATACGAATATGTCAGTCGTGACGAATTGCAGAATGTCGTGCTAACAAACAGGTAATATCACCGAATCTTACATATTTGCCTTTTACGTTTAAAAGTTTGCGGAAATTTAACTGAACCCTAGTTTATGAGCACAAGTGAACACAAGTTCACTGAACATATGAGAACCACTCAAAGTTATTGGATATAAAAAACACTTCAAAAGCTAGCGCTCCATTTTCGAGTAAATTCCAACGTACGTGTTACAGGTTGAAATTAAACAGAATTCCGCTATGTCTGTGTTCCTTTTTGTCTGCAGGTTATAATTGTTTCAGAGCTCACAATGTTGTTTAGCAACAAAACGTAGGCACTGTAATTATTGCAGCAGTATGTTATAAAATTCAACATGGAAAGATATCAGATAATAACGGCAATGTCAGCTTTATATGAGAAAAGAAATTTAGCTTCTTTCATATCTGAACATTTTTTGCAAAAAGTAGAATATGTTTAAGGCGTTTTTACATATAAAAGAAGAACTCTTGAAGCCGGATGGACACGTTAATGTGGTCGATGTTCTGAACAAATGAAGTGACCTGAAAAAGAAAAATAACTTACGTTGTCAGAATGTTACCAAAATTAACATTCATCTCTGAGCATGTGTTGTGACCTTGTAGCCTTAATTCTCAATTTAAATGCTTCATCTCAGTTAAAGAAACAACTCATGAAGACATAGTTTATATTTTACTTTTACGAGTAATAACAGCTTATTACAGTGTTCGCGGATAAGATTTTGCACAAATTCAAAATTTGATACGAGCCAAATGTTCCAGGAAGTGATCAGTACCGCTTGTTATATAACGTCGTGTGCTGAATTTGAAAATGTTGGGAAGAAAGCGATTTTCGCTTGATTGCAGTGTGAACCTGACATTTGTCTGGAGGGCCTGCGGAAGGCCAGATAGCTAATGTCACTTTCGGGTTTCGAAGTGGTTGCCTCACGAATACAAGCCTAGGGTAGGACAGAAGATGCCACTGACCTCAGACAAATGGGAAGGAACAGTTTCAATTCTTGTGACAGAAAAGGGCTAAGAACTCAGGCCGTCTTGAGAATGATGATAATTATATATTTCTTGTGAAAAGCTTTAAAATTTCGGCGTTTGAGACTAACGAGATTAGTTTTATACTTTTACAGACTTCGATAATTTGTTTTCTAAATTTAAGGTAGAAGAGCGTTTAGTAAAATAGCAGAGAGTTGTGAAGGCTTAGCTATGAATGAGGAACCAATTTCAGACACTTGTGTGCAGAAGGGAGCG